GTACACTGTATTTAACTCAGAATATACAGCATGGGTTTCCATTCAGTGTCATTGCACAGTGATTTACTCCCTACAGTCTGTTATCCTGCAAGATAAGGGTCATCCTCATGCACAATGAGTTGTGTTCACTCCAGTATCAATACTCAATCAGTGAAGAAGACTCCTTTATTCACCACAACGCAGATATCAAGTACATGTTCATGTTTGGCTGGAGACAGGATGTGTGCAACACCACTCTCCACTGAGAGGAACACCACTGCAATGCATTCGATAAACACAGTTCCATTCTTTTATTTCATCCACAACATTCCAACGGGTTGTCCAGTTCATTTTTCTTTGACACTGCTTTCTTTTCTGTTCTGTGTTAAAAGCAGCAACACAGAAACAATCCCATTCCCTTTCCATCATACAAAAAAATGTTAACATTAACAAAGTGTGTCCCTGGTGGGTCTACCATCTCCCCTCCTTTCCCCTTCAGGCACTAGAGAAAACCACTGCAAGAGAGGCGACAGTGCAACAGACAACACACACTTTCGTCTCTGCGTTGCGTCAATACTACTCCTCTCATCATCATCATCAGTATGCAATAAAGCAAAAAAAGAACAATAACACTGACTATTCACAAAAAGAGGAACGTAAACTTTATTTTCTGCATCACACCCTGTGTGCAAGAAAACACAACCCAAGTGAAAAATAAAAACTACACCAAAAGAGTTACACCATCGTAGAGCAGCAGCTAGAAGGTAACAAAACCACAGCCATAGCTAACCACAAAACAAACCCTGAAAAGATCCCCTGGCAGGAGGCTCCATCTCGTCAAGTTACAACCCTCTCGAGTCAGCAATCCAACCCTGTACAGCAAGAGGAATATATTGGTATAATACACACACTGCAATACCTTCTCCCAGGTCCTTAAAACCCCAAAAGAAGGAAAAAAAAAGAACAAGTAACAGCTTACCAATAGAAAAGGGTATCTCTTTTTTCCCCTCGTATTCCTCGCAATCATATCCAATCATGTCCTCAAGGTCCACCACCAAAGAGGAACACCCAATAACAAAATAAATCCCCACCCCAAACACACACTACAACAACATTGTCAATCAAGTAGCCCAATTATCCAATAACGACAGAACACATTAACACATCATTGGAATTCATCACACTAACTTCTCTTTAAGGCATCAAAGGGAGACAACCAACAACACACAACCAAATTCTTGAGTGGACACCGACCCTCTGCAGAAAATCCATTATATTCAAACTCAGTATCTCTGAGGATTGAGTACCACCTGTGCGGTGGGAGAGCATTATGAAATATCTCAACCCTTCCTTGGGTTGTGTTGCAGTGCTTTGTAGCGTGGATACCATTCTCCACACTAATGTCTCCCTCAGTCACACACTTTTTTTTCAAATATTTATCCTTGATAGCCATTCAAAAAGATGTGTCCCTCCTCTCACAATGTCCATTGCATGGTCGAACACCATTTAAACGAGGCAATAGATCACAAGGAATGCTCTGTTCAAACATGGTCATAACCCTAGGAACTTGACAAAAACAATGTCTACCACACGGATACATCACGTTTCTTTTCTTTTCCCTTTTTTTTTTTTACATTTGGCTATCACGGTATTTACCTCTGGCACCTCCCATTATCAGGGATATCTCGTGGGATTTTCCATTTGCGCACAACGCCATGCTGGATCAAGATTGCGTAAACGAGATGCTGCGGGCGTGGCTTGCTGTAATTGGGCACCCCTTTGGGTGAGGAACAATGCCCCTGTTATCATCCATCTCGCAAATTTCCCGTAGCAATGGGAGCGAGATTCATTTCTAAACAGTTACCCCTTACCACAAATGAAGAGTGTAACCCCCGGGGGTGGGTTTAGAGGGCAGCGCAATCGCCTGGGCGAGACCCCAAGTGTGTAACGGATGCGTCTGCTCAAATAAATTCTCCCTCTTTTTTGTTTTATTTTATCGGAAACAAATGGGCGCCAGAGACCCCCACTTTAAAATTTGAACTTGGACACGGTGCCTTCCTCAAGTGGGGAAAAGAACGGGATGAGGCGTTACAGAATATTGATAGAGAATTGTTTGGGCTGTTTGCATGGGGTCATTTTCTTTTTTTTTTTCTGTGTGTGTTTTGGCCGTCGTGCGAAATGCAATCCCAATAATGCAGGAATACTTCTCACTCTGTGCAAAGTTATAACTTGAACAAGGTAGTGCCTGACAGAGAGTGTGGGTACGTATACGTGGTCAAAAGTATACCGTCAGAGTCAAGAAAATTCCAACGATTTACTCGCACATTGGAATCCATATCAATGACGATGAGTGTGGATCACTCGAAAGGGTATCCCATCCAATATTCTCCAATCATCCTCCATTTGTGCGAATAACCAATAATAATAATAATAATAATAATAATAATAATAATAATAATAATAATAATAAAACGAGCTCTGCTTCAGCAGAAACCATAAGAAGAAATAACCATAAAAATAATATTGGTCACAAACTATTTTCGCAATGTTACAGTATTATTTTTTTTTTCATTTTCCCTCTTAACCCTGTACCAAATATCTTCCTTGTTGTTTGTGTTGTTTTTCTGCATCATTAATGTTTGGAATTCGCATGCAGAAGCACACTGAGAATTCTTTGAAATACCAGTTGTGTCCACTCACTTTATTTCACTTCCCTCTTCGCCCCAGCACCATAGCGCAGACTCCCATTAAGTCCTTTCCGCAACGCTGGTAAATTAACGTGGGCAGTTCGCAATTTCATCGACCCTAGGAAAAACATATACAGTTGGGAGTAAATACCCACACATAATCCTGGAGAATGCTGCAGCGTCGTAGAAAGAGAATGGCAATTTCACCAGGCCCCATGCAAACACTAGAATTGCAATACCTTTTTTGTGACACCTTGTAGGTGAAAAAAAAAGACACCACAAGAAACAAAACGCTCTTGTAGTGGGAAATACGGCATCCTTGTTAAACAAAGGAAGAGGAAAAAAATATATAACGTCTTTTACCAACTCACTTCGTTCTTTATTTATTTTTCTTCCCCTGATTACTTTCAGGGTGTATAAATTAAAACATTGGGAATGGGTGAATTTATCCATCACCTTGCAATATTTCACGGTCTTCATGAGATGAGTGCGCCAAGTAGGCATCACATTTCCTTTTGGGACCCTAACAACATCCACGCACCACTGCATAGGCATGCTCTCTTCAGTAATGGGAACTACCAATTGACGGTGTCAACGACGCAACGGACCCCAATAATTATCATCCTGATCCTCCTTCTAGAGAGCCACCCATTAGTCTTCTCTCTCGTTCCTATCCGCCTCTCCCACTCTCTCCAAGAGTGAGACAAACACCAGAGAGTGTCCCTGGCGAAAAATAAGAAAAAGAAAACATCTTAGTACAGTACATCATCCCTCTTTCTTGCTCCAATACTTTTAACACAGTTTCAGAGTGGGGTACACCTCATGCAGCAGAGCCAAAATGCTTTCTTTTTGCTTACCTGACCATCAAAAACACCTCATCACACATATGTGGAGAAACGTCCAAGTGAAAAACCATACAGAGACTCAGGTTATGACCAGGCGGAGTCTTTAAGAAAGCTGAGGGTTTCAGTTATGAGAAAAGGAAATGATTATTTTTTTTTTTTTACTTTTCTGATGGTTGCACCAACTTAACGAGATATTTCTTTCCTTCATGATTGGCCTCTTCAAGTAATGATCGGGTAATCCTATGACCCAACAGAGAGGCAAAACACCACAGTAATATATATATATAGTACAAGATACCAACATTCAACAAGACACCATTGCTCACTCTGAATGTATGTGTAAATCCCGCGTAAAGGAGAAATCAAAGAATCCTTTGGTGGAAAAGAGTAAAAGAAAAAAAGACTTCAATACAATTCAGATACTGATTTTTCAATAGGGAAAAAACAATAGCACCGGTTGGTTTCGATCCAACGACCTATGGGTTATGAGCCCATCGCGCTTCCACTGCGCCACGGTGCTGCACGCCAAAACGTCATGATGGTTTTGACTTCCAAAATGTTTTCATTGCAAACAACAGAAGGTTTATCAGTGGTCATTATGAACTTCCATATGTCTACTCCATAGTGCACCGCTTTGTCTTGCCCCCATTACAAAAAAAAAGGAAAGAGAAGAAAAAAAAATGAATCATGAAACAAAAAAAAAATAGCAAAAACAAATCAAGAAACATACTGATGATGTTGTAGTTTTTTTTTTTGTGGTTGTTTGCAGCAAGTCATAACTTCAAAGAAAATAAAAATAAAAAAGGTATGGGACCTGGCTTCAGGGACCCAGCAGAGATTACAACAAAGAGTATTCTATTCTACCCCATCGGGTCCTTTTTTGACCCTCTTTTTTTTTTCCATGATTCCAATGTATTTATTATGTTTTCTTTCGTGTAATTGAGGTTTCCATGCCATTTCTTTCAGGCGTTTGCGACACCCGGCAATTCCGCATTACGTGTTCTCCTTCGTGTGCCCACTTGTGAGTTCGGCAGAAGGTATGTAGGTAAATCAGTAAAATAGATGTATATAGTATATAGAGGGGGGGGGCAAATGTATATATTTATATTTTTGTATATAATATTACATATATATATATATATATTATATATTATATTATATTTTTTCTTTTTCTTCACAGTAATTCTCTACTTTATTTTCTTCTTTCATGCCTTGATACATAACTCTCAGACTCCTGTTTCTTTTTCATCTTCACTGCAAAGAAAAAAAAAAGATACGGAGGGCACACCCCAGCATATTCTGCGAATGGGGGTGCAACGACCGTGTTTTCTTCCAGTTTAATCGAATAATCAAAGGGGGAAAGAATGTATTAGGGTTGTCTTCTTGGTTGTTGTTTAGGTTTTACCGGAGTATCAGTTGAAAAAAAAAAAAGAGCGAGGGGAGGAAAATAGTGAGAGATATTAAACAACTCAAAAAGAAAACCAAAAAAAAACCAAACGAAAACGAAAAAAACATATATTTTTTTTCGTTTTTTTTTTTTTTTTCTCCCTCTTTTCGTCAAGCCTCAGCGGGCAGAGAAAGCTTCCGCTTAGCAAAAGAACGGCCAACACGCTCTGTGATACCAAACCTGTGCTCCGCCGCAAGCAGCCACTGCCACATGGATCCAAGGAGCAGCAGCAGCAGCGGCCACAGCAGATTTGCACGCGCGCTGTAGAAAGCTCCCATGTTACTCCCAAGCATGTAGTCCACAAACTGCCCAAGCTGCAGCAGACCAGCAACACACGCCAACAGAAGTGCCTCGGCTGCGCTCCAGGGCGCAAAAAAGGAACAGCGAGGGTACATGACGGCATAAACAACGGGGGCGATGCCAATGGTGAGAATACATGTGAGTAAAAACAACCAGTTTGTCTTGCCAAGCTCCAACAAACTTATCTCCCGGCCATCAGGCTGAATATCAGACGCCAATCCTGTCACACTGTAGCGGATACAGGGGAGAACCCACGCAGGTATTATACACCCAGCGATAAAGACAAAATTGAATATTCGAAGAAATAAACGTCTTTTCCACTTGGTATCTTTCTTTCGCTTGATCTCTTGGTTGTCTCCTTCTCCTTCAACAACCAGTACGGGTGTCTCAGGATCGAATGGTCCTTTCTTTTTGGAATTCACACGAAGCGATGTATTGCGACGCCACACTGTTGTGGCGTAGTTGCCAACGAGAATAGACAGAATCGTTGATGAGAGAAACGCGTAAAACCCAGGAAGAATCTCAACTTCTGCAATTCCCTCTATCTGCAGTCCCGCTGCCATAATAAGCATGGCATATGAATCAAGGAAGGAAAACTTACCAAAGTAGTCAATAACTCTCAAGAGAACTAGGTCTGGTTTCTGTAGAATAAGCGTACACACAATAATTACCACCAACTTGATGTAGGGATACACACCGCTGAATAAAAATGCAAGGACTGCAAACACATACATACCAGCGTCAAGCATATTCATGGTAGATTCCATAAGAGAGAAGGACATGATGCGCATCTCGTCAGCAAGTATCAAAGCAGCAGCAGTGGTAGAGTTTGACCATGCAAAACCAAATGCAGCTAGAGCACACATTCCCATTAAGAGAAGATCTTCAATTAAAACACGTTTCAAGGACACTTTAACACCCTCTTTTGTGGTAACTGATGTGCGCTGGTAGCGCCAGATAGCGTGTCCAGCAGTGACGGCAATGAGAATTACAACCACAATTATCATGCACACCAAAAGAGGAGTGGGTGGAACCGTATGCGCATCAGCTAGCTCCATCACGGGGATGTAGAAACGGGGACCTGTTACATTCATGTAACCCAAGGCTTCCTCAATAGCGTGGTTCATCATTGGGGTAACACGTGGTCCCAAATTGTTTACGATGAGCCGATCCCATTCGCCAAGGTTTTCAGTTCGAATATTTTCCAGAATGATACCACCATATCGCGGCACACTGCAGTTAAAACCAACGGCGTCACACTGAAAATCATTAAAGGAAACTTCCAGAGAAACACTGAAGGGTTGTGGAATATTAATCCCAATGAAAGGACTCTTAATAACTGGAAGACGATTAAACAAGAACCCCGTAAAGTTCCCAAGTCCTGACATGTTAAGCATACCTGCCACTTTCTCGACAGAAGACTGTAACTTGTCAAAATTGTCGAGTTCGAAATTAAAACTATTGGTAAATTCCAAATTCAAATGCAATGTGGTGCTAGCGTGAAGTGATGCGCCAAAGCGAACACCCAAAATTGGTGGAGCCTTGTCGATCACCTTAACAAGTGTTCGAAAGAGCATACTGCCCTCCAAGGGTGTGGCGTTGGAGGCAAGTCGGGGAAATGGTTTCGGTAGAGCCAATGTGTGGTTATGCAATTCATCCTGAAGAGTCTTCATTCCTGAACTACAGACAAAATTGTTCACCTGTCGCTCGATTGTCCTCTTAAATAGTCCAACAAAGATGCTAAATAAAAAACTCGGTTCAAATCTCACGTCCTTGATTTTTAGACCAATGTTACAGGTATTTAGAGTACTATTTACACTGTAACAGGTGTCGTCCACAGACCTGGAGAGAGATATCTGCGACGGCTCAAGAACCAAATCAGTATGCACCAGATACATTGTGCCGGACATCCTCATTGTAACGACACATGTGAATTCAGAAGGCTCCGTTACATTCAGAGACCAGTGCGAGGAGTTGAACGTGCCACTCATCGGACCGACTGTTAGATTGGAGCATGACAAGTTGCTTATTTCTGACAAAAGGGGGATATTGTAGTAGAAGTCAGGCACACTAAAATCAGTGATAAGAAGAGAGCTCCACAAGAGCACAAACGAGAGACACTCTGCTATCATCTGAAGAGGAAAACCTTTGCGCTGTATTGAATACAATCTTCAATAATTCAGATTTCCCTAGTATTTTGTATTCCCTTCAATATGGTAAATACAAGAAAAATCTGCTTGATTAAGAGAGAGTATACAACTGAAGTTATAAACCTTCTTTTCCGGTTTATTAATTTGTGGTCAACTTTGAGAATTAAATACAAGAAAAAATAGGAGGAAGTGGATTCAAAAAGATGATACAAATAACAATAGGGACAGTAAACCTAATAAAAAATAAAAACCAAAAATAAAAATAGAATACCATAGTTTTAGTTTATCTTACTTTATCTGATAGAACTATTTTTCCCACCATGAAAACAATCACTCATCTCACCTACCCACAAGTGCACTAAATCCCACGTAAACATGTGATAAAGCTTCTTAAGCAAAAATTGACACCTTAAAGAAAAGAAAAATAAGGTTTTTTTTTTTTTTTCTTACGAAGAAACTTCAGAGAAATAACAGTTAGTACGACCGTAACAAACCATCATATGGGGAACTACAACTTTCATAGGTTCCGTAGCTCTCTTATCAGCAGGTAAAAATGCAGTACGGGTTGCTTCACCCACTACATAAAACGACCAACCACTAATTAAGTCCTCTGTTGATGCAAAACAGGGTATCTAAATTAGAGTTCTAAGGCAGAGTTTCAATTTCCAATCTGTAGCAGTTGACTTTTTTTTTAATCTTGTGTAGCAATACATCACAAAAACACTCCGTGAGATCTCTCATTAATAATAATAATAATAATAATAATAATAATAATAATATTCACCTTGACAGCTGTAGCTTGTCGGAGAATTAATTGTGTTACTAGGGATAGGAACCACAGCGATTGAAGGAGACACATTATATGATGTAGTACAACTCGGCGAAGATGCCGCTTCGTCTATGTTCTACGTTGAATCACCGTCGCAACTTATCCTTAACGCCTTCCAAGTTTGACCTTGTATTGTTGTAGAGTTGTTATTTACCGTATGCGTACTTACCATGTTAATTTTCTTTGTTTGCATCATCATCATCATCATCATCGTTTTCTTTTTTTCTTTTAATGAGAACCACAAGAGAATATCTTACAGTACAACGCAGAGACGCCAAATATATGTCAAAGGTGTATTAAAGAATCAATCGCAAACGCGAAAAAAAAAGATATATTAAAGGTCTGACTTTGATCGATACACCATTTATAAAACCACCCCAAGGAATAGTCTATAACTGAGGATAATGTTCGCAAGTTTAACGCCTCCTTGTGGGTATTATTTACAAAACCAAGAAGGGAACAGGTAATGGTAATGACATGAACACCATTCAAAAGGAACAAGGCATTTGTTTTTCAACGAGCCTTCAAGGTTCCAAAGCTGCAACGTTAGAACACCACAAGTGATGGTATGCAAAAACACTACCTTGTATATATATCCTATGCATGTAAAAGAAACAATAGTAATGAAAAAAAAGACACACCGAAATTTTCAAAACACATACAAACACCCACATGACAGCATCTACCTTTTCTCCACTACAAGAAACCCTAAGATCATTCCAAAACCAAAAAAAAAAAAAAAAAAACGTTTTTGTTTTTGTATTTGTTCAAATCAGAAAGAGAAAATTTCGTTTTTTTTTTTTTTTTTCTTGGTACATAAAACTGTTTACATCTAAAAAGGGAGCTGGGTGAAAAGAGCTGCACCGCGGAGCACCCAGTGATTCTCTGTGTCGGCTGGATGTCTCGGTAGATCAATGGTAAGAATAAAATTGGTGGAGTGACCGGTGGTTGAAAGCACACCACGTCTATCGGTGGTCTTGTAACAAGGACATCTGTATATTGGGGTATCAGGAAGTTCCTCCTGACGGCATGGAAGCAGTCGTAATAGTGGAAACTTAATGAAGAGCTCTTTTGGTTTGCTTTCACAGAGGGCAGCGTTGACAGAATCCCATCCAGCTCCCTCCAGGAACAAACCGTAGATGCAACAACCATCCTCAGGAGCCGTGGTACAAGTCTCCTCATTAAGCACAGTAAACTTCCATAACAGCTTATCAATTTCTATTTTCCATTTTCGCGCATAATTTTGCATGACACCTGTGAGAAATGATTGCGTAAAGAAAAACCCGCTTATCCAGAACATCGGTGGTGGGCCTTCATCACACCATTTTTGAAGAAAACTGAGACGCTCGACCAGATCATTGACATAGGAACCAAATGGCTTTAATGACGGATACGACCGCTTCTTCCAGACATTTGGAACCTTGCCATCATACATCGCGTTGAAAACTTCCTCCAGATCGGCACTCATTACTACTTTTCCACTTATAGCATCTTGAACATCAGCAAGTGTTTGTCGCAAAACGACAAGAAGACGTTTATACCGTATCGCTTCTTGAAGAAGTACCGTGTTCATGGATTGAGAATAATCAATAGGATGTTTTTTCTGAATTTCTTCAATGTCAAAAGGTTTTGGAAGCCTTGAGAGGACATGATGGGCCATTTCCTTTACAGTTGTCTTGGGATCCAACTTTGACGCCGAGTCAGAGGACTCACGTGGCTGAGTCAGAAGTGTAGCCTCAAGCAAATTCTTCGCATCTCTTTCATCCTTGGTGATATCAGCGTTCTCATGAAGACCAAAAACCCCAGGAGGTTGTTGCAAAGGTAAGTTTTGAATATAGTCCACATATGACTCATATTCACCAAAAGGAGGGGCGTAGTACTCAGGAGCATCCGGGGCAAACACGTAGTCATCTTCTAATATAAGTGGGGTTAAGTAAAGTGATAAGATTGCCATAATACAACGACGATCCCAATCATCAGTTACACGACCTCCATAGTTACATTGACCAGTAAGATACAAGAGTGCATCGTATGGGACCTCATCATTTTCCTCAAGAAACATATTAAGCTGTCGAATGCTAATACGTCTATCTGTATCATTAAATTCATACATCCTATTCCAACCCAAGGGTCCAAATTGGCGGCGCTCTTGAACCACGGCGTGAAAGAAGCAAATTCCAAAAAGTAACTTTCTCCAGACTTCTGGTTTTTTAGAGGAATTAAAGAATTGTGCATCTGCCACAGGATTAGAAAGATAAGACTGCAAGAGGTTGCTTTTAAGACCTTTTGGAGGTTCTTGTACCAATTTTACTCCGTTTTGCAATATAGCAATAGGGAATGTCTCACTTGGAAGAGATGTAAGCCAGAGTCGATACTGGTCATTCAAATTCGTCTTTGCCGCGCTATCGCTGTAGTTCTCTATGATGCGTGCGAGTTCTGGCATGAAGTCCTGGTAGAGATGACAGTTCTGCAGGAGCACCCAATTCCCTTTGCGGACGCCCTCGTCGATGAGTTCCCGCGCGGCGGCCCCCTGCCCCTGCCCGAGGGACAACTTCATCAGCCGCCCGCCCATCCCGCGCTGGGCGGCGAGGCGGTCCAACTCCGCGTTCGGGTCCGCGCCCGGCGAGAGAACCAACACGAGCGGCACCGACGGGTCGTGCGCCAACTCGTCGACAACGTCCTCCAGCGCGTAGAGCGGCGGCTCGACGAAGAAGGCGCCAAGCAGCGAGCGGACGTACTCCGTCACCGCCGGCACAATCTTGTCGGTGCGGAAGCAGCGCACGAGGATCAATTGCGATATCCCCTCCAACGCCGCAACCGCAGAGGGAGGCTCAAGCGCAAGCGGGTCAGGGGACTCGTAATAGGCGCGGAAATAGTCTTCCTGTTCCCGCACAAGATCCACCAAAGACTCAAATGAAGGAAGTTGGGTACTCGCACGCCATACCAGTTTCCAATTTTGATCAGGAAGCCAAGAAGCAAACGGATTACTTGCTAATCCATCATCTGCTTCAAAACCTCCCATTAATAACCAACGTAATTGTGTTACATCTACTTCATAAATCTTTAGACACATTGTAAATGAAAATAATAACTGATCCCGTGCAAATAGTGAACGGCAAATTCGTCTGTACAATGAGCTTTGAAATGTAGATCGAATATTATCAATACGAATATCTACGTCTTCAGATGCCTCACTTTGTTGAAGGGCTTCTTGAAAAATAGTAACATAGGCGTTAAGTGAATTTTGATACATAGGATCAATATTAGCTAACTCTGTTACACAGAAAAATAATGTGGCCCCAAGATTAGCCACAGGAATAAATAAACTTCGAGTACGATCACTTATACGTTCCATGGCTTCAATCTCTTCTTGTCTTTTAGCAATTTGATCACTCTGTATCTTGGAGCTATCAAGTTCTTCAATAGCTGTCTCACTTTCCAATATGTTTCCTTCAGATGAGAGAATTGCAAGAATTTTGTCTTCTGTTTGCTTTAGACTCGCTTGGTTCTCAGCAGCTTCAAGAGTTAATGCTTGCTTTTTCTCTTCCACTTCCCGTCGTTCGCTCATCATAACACGCTGTAGTAGCTGATCTTGTAAACCTTGTTGAGTAATCATAAAATTAATCAGAGTTACCTTTGTGCTTACCTCTGGGAGATAATGTGGTCGGGGCAGTTTTGTTGTCATGTAAAAACGGAAATTTTCGTTCCACTCTACTGGTTCACCAACATGAATCACAACAGCAGCACCTTCTCTTGTCAGTCGCTTTAAGAGTAAGTTTTCCAGAATTGGATCTACTGTCTCTTCAAGGTTTTCCATAAGAACAGGAATTCCTTGAGCAATAGCTCCACGAATAGTCTTAATACAATCAGGCTCTGATGGTCGTGTAATAATCAAACCATTAGCACGTTCCATATTACGAATCCAATTATTTGCTTGTTGTTGTGGATCAATAAATAGTGGCCATCTACTAGAGGTTTTTACAATAACAGCATTATCAATAGAGAAACCATCAGATGGTAACTGTTGTAGCTTCCATGCTTGAATGTCAATAGGAGATCCTACAAACTTTGCCAATGCATAGTCTTCTGAAACTAAAACATTCTGTTGTTTACACATATTTAACCAGTTTTGCATTACTCTTTCACGATATTTATGCAAAAATGGACCCAGATAAGCAACCACACCGGCGCTAATAACAACATTACCAACAACATACCTTAACTCTTCCTGAAACCGTTCACTCTCTTTCGCAAAACGAACTTTTTCACCTCCAAGTCCCTCAATAAGTTTCTTTGCACGTGTTAATTTAATATCTGTATCATTTACTTTTTCTTCAAGGTCCTGTTTGTCTTTCTTCACTTTCTCAAGATGTTCTGTAAGGGCTTTTAATTTCTCATTAATAATACGTAGTTCCTCTTTCTTCTTGTTTAGACCCTCCATTGCAGTATCATACTCTTTCTGTGCTGCTGCAGCTTGTGCCAATAGTGGTTTGATAATCTTATTTTGTTTGTAATATTCCACCACCGCCCGTATATATGTAGCTACACCAACCAGAGCTACAGATGTTTTTCTGATATTTTCCATTTTAAACATATCATTTGTCATTTTCTTCTTTACATCCTCAATTTGTTCTTCAGGTGCTGTATCCACAATAACTGGATATGCACTCAGTAATATATTCTTAAACTCACCCGTTAAGAGTGTAAGCTTAGCATGTTCCCAGTATGGTACTGAAACACTACCAGTTAGTGGATCTCGTACAGGTTTTGGTTTATATGTTCCACCCAATAGAGTACAGAGGACTTCAATGACGTACTTTACACCTTGTGGTGGTGTCTTAAGAGCCTTAATCTCCTGCAGTGCTTTTGGGTCAAGATCAAGGACAGCGCGTTGTGCCTGTTCCACTAATGGTTGGGCTTCATCTACTTTCTTCTGAGAAGCATCTTTAATTTCCTTTGCCGCTGCAGCCTGTTCATTGGCTGCCGCTTCATCTACAGCAACAATAGCTCGTTGCTCTTCTGCCAACCGACTTTCCATTTCAACTTCTTTTATAAGTTCATCAGTTTCTAGTTGTTTTTTTGCCAACTGTGGTCGCATTAGTGCTAACTCCTGTTGCATGATTTCAACTTGATCTTCTGTTTTCTTTAGTTGTGTCAAACCATTTGCGTAGCGGTGCATCATAGCAGTAAGCTCTTCACGCTTTTCACATAACAGGTGTTCAAAGGTAGATAAGAGATCTAAATACGAGGTGGGTGTCACGTAAGTGTGTTGTCGTACTTCTGTCAAATATACCTTCCCAAGTTCACGAACTTGTTGCTGAAATAAAACAAACATATCTTCTGCAGCTTTCTTCTCATGATCTGTAATATCAAGTTTTGAAAGGAATCGTATGGCTACTGAATGTAACCCATCCTCTGGCCATTCAGAGAACCAATCAATAGTGGTACAATTTACTAATGAAGGAAATTTTCGTAGTCTTTCACGCAAAACATTACCTATAGGTGAAAAGCATAGTGCAATATGCATATACTTTTTACATCGCTCAACAAAAAGAGCTTGAAGCGCCTCAGCGGTATCAGGACGTCCAAGTTCTTTTCCTTTCTCTCGAAGAGATGCGACAGCATTCTCATATGTCTCCTTATCCTGTTTGGTATCCCAGATTCCTGGTACTTCGCCAGTGTTAAGAAGGCCGCAGATGTCTTCGAGGAAACTCTCTGATGTTATTTGAGTGTCTGACATAACAAATACAGTTGCATAGCCATTCATACCAGTACGCAAGAGAAGAGCACGTATATCATCTAAAAAGTTGCTGTGGTCATAGTCCTTTGCTGGAGTTGTAGTCATATAGTCACATTCTTGCAAATATGCAGCAACTTTGGTACAACTACGACGTCCACTTCCACCAACTCCAATAAGAAGAAGATTTCCACCAGGTTGACGGAGAACACGACAAATCCTTGAGACATGTACAACGACATAATTAAAAATAACGAGATCTAACTCACCAGAGTGTGTTCCTAAGTTGTAGGTTTCTAATTTACTCTCCAGTACTTTCCGGGCATCATTTACATTAGGTAACTCCTCATAATATCCATCATCATTCATAAAGGTTGAGAAGAGTGTTGGATTTTCTACACTATGTAAGTTTTCAAGTGGAAGTTTAAAGTGTTTCATTGATAATTTACCTACCTCGTCGAGGAACCAATTTGTATCCTTCTCGTTGATAAAACGATCAGCAAAAGCCCTGGAGACTTCGTGCATCCATAATACTGATAACTTCCGTTCATCCACGATCTTCGCCGGGTTCGCCATGTCAATACCTTGAAATACTTTGCTAACGTCTCGTAGGTTAAATGTGTAGTGTGATTTCTCTGGAGAAGGTTTTAAATTATCTACTAAAGTCTCATAAAGCTCAATTGTAGCGCTCACCAGGGCAGTAGCCATTCCACGTAATGAGGTAGGAAATCCTCTACTGATAATCCAATCAGATAATGTACCAAATATCTTTCGTAATGTTGGTTCATCAAAGGCTGGAATAGCGATTGTGTTAAAGTGACGCGTAAAACGTTGAGTCACAGGATTTCTACCTCCTCCAGCAGGTCCCATAGCACAAAGTAATAAAATGTCTACCAATCGACGGAATTCAATATTGTCTTTCCCATGGTTATACCAACCTCCATGATCGAGGTATTGGCGAAGGAGTTCTATTGGCGGTTGGGCGCCATATTCCTCCAATTGTGGTAAATTTGTATCATCGACAAATATCATCATCTTTTTGTTGATAGGTGGACCATAAAAACCTTTTCGACGTTTTTCCAAACTTCCATCAATAAGTCGTTGTAGGTGTCCTGCTGAAGTTTGTGCAGAGAATTGAATCATGTTAAGTGAGTATGAATCTTCAGGAAGTCCCTTTAGTAATGATTTCATCATGATAGTCTTTCCTGTACCTGTATCTCCCACAAGTAGCACAGGATGCATGGCACCAATCATAAGTTTTGTAAGGAAGGAATACCTTGTCTGTGCACTGGTAGGGACAATTACGTCTTGGTACTCCACACCCTCTTCAATTACAAACTCTGGCACATAGTCAGACCACTGTGCAAAACGAACTTCACCCTCTGTCTCAAGACGAACATCAAAAAAGGAATGTTTATTATCGGGGAGAACAAGTGTAAACTTGTAGGATCCATTTCCAGCAGCAGCAGCCACTTCAGAATGAAGTGCCGCATTAAATATGGCCCTCTCCTTTGTAAAGAGACATCCACCAACCGACCAAACAAGTGAAAAGAGGAACCATCCCTCTAATTTCATCAGCATCGTGCGTGCCTGTGCGGAAACATCTGTCGGTGGAGCATCTTCTTCTTCTTCTAACCCACGGAGGAAGGTTGAAAAGAGTTTAATAAAACCAGAAACTGAAACAAGAGCTCCTTGTGGAATAACGGATTTAACATCCTTTCTCACAACTTCTAACATTGGAGGCATAAAAACATCTACGAGAGTACGTAAAGCTGTCACCATATTCTCATTCTCACGGATAATTTCTGGCAATGTATTGAAGTACGAATCTATTAGACAGCGCCAACCAAGTGAATCTGGTTCCACGTATACCATACCACAACGGGATACAGTGGCAGGTGAGGCGTGAGCAAGATCTTGAACTTCAAAAATAAGATTCATTTCCTTTGACATGGGTATAATATCACCATTCTGAAGACAAAGTTTTTTATTATCATCAAGTACAGTGTTCATATTCTCAATCCACACGGCATCTACAGGACCATCTAGCACAAGCCATTTACGCTCTTTTGATGTGTCTTGTGCCGCTAATCGAAACCTGAATGGTAAAATACCATCTGTCCACTCACCAGATGCCTCAACTCTACCATATAATTGTGGCATAGTTACAGATTTGGGATTCATTGTTATAAGGCGTGTGCGTCGCTCCTTCCCAATAGCCTCCATAAGACCAAGAGATTCTGAAAGACATTGCAGAATTTTTGTTTTGGCACCAAACGAAAAACCCACCAACATCATACCATGACGTACTACAATCATCTCATACGTTTCCCTAATTTTTATTTCAAAGTAATTTGTAAGTTGTAAGTTACGTGTTTCACATACCCTTACAAGGGCATTATGCATATCTACGTAGTCCGGTTCAGGTAGTTTTACACCAGGGAAAAGATCAGAAACAATTCCTTTAAATAGTTCCACATCCTGTGTTAAGAATTTTGGAAGATTAACATCTTGAATAGAACGTAACATTAACACCATCTCATCTTCATCAGGATAAGCACGTTTCAAACGACCTGCAGCTGTTAGAACAGCCTTTACAGCACGCATACCATAATCATAATGATCTTGTGAAGATAATTGCTCTGAACACAGACGGTATGTGGCAACAATTTTTTCTGCTAATTCTTTTCCATAAAGAAAACCGTATGAATAGAGTTGAATCTCACCAATCATAGCATAGTTCGGAACCATCATAGCTACCGGACGGAAAAGTGCTTTAAGGTTATCGGGAAGTTCTGCACGACCTGCATAACCAGGGTTCATTGTAACAAAGATAGCACATCCAGGATCAAGACGAATTTGTGCACCTTCAAAGATGAATTCATTCCGTTTCTGAATAATAGCTTCCTGTATAACCGCAACTTGTTGTGCAATGACAGATAACACCTGTATTTCAATACGATTAAACTCATCAAAACAACCCCAGGAACCAGATTGTGAAAGTCCCTTAAAAAGTTTAGCCATATCCTTCGCTGTAATCTGATCTGAACAATTATATACTACACAATACTTTCCCAAGGCTTTAGCAAGATCTTTTGTAGTTTCAGTTTTACCTGTACCAGCAGGTCCCTCTGGGGCACCACCATAATTAAGGTGTAATGCACCAATAAGTGTGCGATAGCATCGATCGGTTAATGGTGTAATAACAAGACGTCCAGTATTTCCCAAATATTCATATCCATAGCGAAGTGAGGCGTTAATTTGACGTACAGAAAGATGATCTTCTTCCCAGTAGTATCGAAGTTGTGCTAACCAATCAAAACTCTTTGGTGAATCAACACCTTTCTCAGAAAGTTGAGCAATAATATCTTTTGCGTGAACCTCTACCACTACCAGAGCTTCAAGTGTACAGCGCTCCACTGCGGCAAGATTTCGATCCCGCACCAAAACAATAAGATCATCAAGTTGACTAACACATTTTTCATGATAACTAGTAAGACCAACTGTACCTTCTGAACTCATAGCTTCTGTTGCCTCCATTGTCCAGTATAAGGAGCAAATGGCAATGACAATTTGACCAGGCCATGCACGGATAAACTCTGTTCGCTTCTTATGGGTTGCATAATCTCCTGTAGCTTGACGTAGTTGATCAAGTATAGTTTCTTTCATAACATCTTCAAGAGCTTGAAGCCACCGTTCAACAAGGTTTTGATAGTCTCCAGGATTAATGGTTTTAATAAGTGTTACTACTTCACCTTCAGATGATTCCATTGCGAGAATATCATGAGCATCTCCAAATTGAATACGTTTAATTCCTTCAAAACACTTACTAAGATAAGGTTGTACAAGATATGGATCTTTACTATCTGAGAGAATTTGTAGTAGTTCTTCATTAGAGATAAAATAAAACCTTGGAAATGCCATTCGCTTTGTCTCAAGAAATTGTTGTAACTTTTTGAGAATAATGTCTAAGTTGTTGTTATTCTCTGTAAGTGTTCTTAGTAAGGATTCATCTTGGCAACGGGTTAATATTTGGGGTGTCGTTCGTGTCTGTTCCATGATTTTATGCCATGACTCATCAATAACGAGAAAGAGTTGTTTCTCCTTTGGTAAACTACGAGAAATATCTGCAGAAGAAAAAATTGGTTCAAGGTAAGCCCAGGTTCCTTGACATTTAAACCATTCATCTACTGTACACTGAATCTTATCTAAGAGTCTTTCCCATTGCGAAACACGTGCTTGCAATGCAGGTGCTTGTCTAACAATTGGTTTTCCAAGCATTGACTGCGTTTTCAGGATATGTTCATCCAATGTCAGTTGCATAATGTCATTTGACTTTAGTTTATGCGTATCTTGATAAGGTTCCATATCAAAAAGTAACTTCTTCCATTCTGCTTCCATTGCCATAAGTTCACTTTCCAATTCGTAAGATTTTTGTGCAACTGTAGCAATACTCTCAATCTGTGGTAAAAAATCTAACATTCCTAATTTAATAAAATCATTAAAGGGTCTCCATTCGTTAGAATCGGCACCACCAGTACCTAAACTTTGCTTTTCTTTCGGTATACCACAAACTTGATAAATAGCCTTCCAGTGACTCCCTTGTAAATTACTTCGTAACGCATATAAAAGTGGTATATAGGGCCTAAAAGCCGCAATATTTTCTCGTATACGTTTCACAACTTCCATAGGTTCTGCCTCTTTGATTTTCTTTGACACAATAGCAACTTTCTTCGCCCAATCAGTCAGTTGTCTGTCTGCATCTACTGGTTGTAATGCTGAAAGGCGTGTATTCAGCCAACGCTCGCTTTCGTTATTGAAAAGACTTACAACTTCCCATAAGATATAGTAAGGTTCTAGTTGAGCCTTAATTTCTTTTAGTTGCGGCCATTTGGATTGTTGTAATGAGAAAAGTGTTTCATGGCTGTTATATAATTGAATTTGTTCTTGATGTTCTTTAATACGTTGTTCTAATGCCCTTGCTTGTTCATAGTACTCATCAGCTCGTGCTTCATCACCAAAATGAGTAAAGTCGTCTACAATATTGCCTAATTGGACAATATCGTTTGTAAGTGTCTCACAGTTGTCTCGTAACTTTTGCATAAGCACATTGCGATACTCCTTGCTTCGGAAGTTTCCATCTTCCAATTCTTGGTGTAGACGTCTTGGCCATTCATAAGCTGTACGGTAATCATTACATGCCTCCGGAGTAAAAACATAATTATATTTAAAAAGAAGATCAAATCCTTCTGTTAAGGCATCAAAAGCAGTGTTAATTGCTTCTTGTCGCGCAGGAATGTTATCAAGAAAATCGCGTAATTCTTGTAATTCCTCTGGTGAACGTGGTTCCACCGCCATCCGTTCACTCATAGTATTATAATCATTGATAATAGATGAACAATTATTTCTTAGTCTTTCTGATAAAGTTTCCATTAGAGCATTTTGAATTTCTTCAGCCTTGGTTAGTAACGTTGTCTTTATTCCTTTACAATCAATGAAGAACATTTCATATTTTACATGGTTGGGCGTCCGCCGCACTATGCGTTCTCTATCGCGGGAAATACGCTCAAATGTCCAATCAAAATCATGAAGTGAAAGTTGACGTGCTTTAACCTCCTCCACAAGCGACTCTGTGTCTTGCTGTAAAATATACTCAAATGTTTGGTACATTTGTTGAAGCTGCAACGGTGCTTCAACATTGTCAGAAAGGGCCTTTTCAATCATTTGCCGCGCCTCACACACTACAGGCTCCGTAGGGTTGAGTGGATGTAGAATCAATGGCTGCATTGTTAATAGAGGGAAGAGTTGATCCCCCATTCCGTGTATTCTGTCAACGTGCTCAAAACATTTATCAAATACGCCAGTCACCTTCCTTGTCACATCCTCCAATGATGGTGAAAAGACGACACGACCTCCTTCCTCCACGAGAGTTAGTAAAAAGAGTGGTCTAAATCCACGAGGTTTCATTGTCATCTCTACTACACGCTTTGTATATGGAAGATGATTACGGAACGTTCCGAGTTCCCATACAAATGGAACTTCTTCTTCCACTTCTTCTTCAGTTTTTTCACTTTTTACTGAACGAAGAGTACTCTCTTTACGTTTACCAAGACGTTGACGTTCGTTGGCTGCCGCCAGTGCTTCTTCTTCTGCACGTTTTTTCTCACGCCATTCATTTTGACGTTTTTCCCAGTGTTCTGCTTCTTCTACATCTTCTTGTAGTTCCTCCATCTTTACATCATCCTTGAGCGGCTCTATACGGTAATGGTGAATGAATGCGGCGAAATCTTTTAATGATGCGACCAGTAACTCTCGTAATTGTGAATTCATCATAACATTAACAAGATTTACAAAACGACACATTCGACTGGAAAGGTACCGTTCCATGTTATCTTCATAGAACTTAAAATGGACGTCAAGATTATTTTGAATAGTACACCGTACATTGATACTCCATTCATTACGCAGTTTTTCAGATATACTAAATCCACGGTGAGCTTGCATTTCCTCAAAGTTTCGAAGTTCAAGGGGAGTCTCACGTTTATCTAGTTGAGTTACACATAAGAGTTGTCCCTTATATTCATTCCATTGTGTATGAATGGCATAGACAGTGTCACGTAGTAACGCTTGCGTCTGGAATAAATTCTCAGCGATGAACTCCCTTGCAACTCGAAAATTGGGTGAAGGTGTATCTATGGTACCCCTTAGCGCGTCCAGGGGAATATCTTCGCAGTATGCAACAGAATGTGGCGGTGCCGGAAGGCCAAGTAACTCTGCACGCAACTGTTCCTCTTTAGCGTGTCTTATTTCACGCCAGTGTTGTGCACGTTTAAGGCTGTAATAGTAGAGTTCTTCAACCTCGTGGGTACATTGTTCAACGAGGTGTAATGAATTAAGTGGGAAACGCTTCGCGACGAGTGCTATTATTCGATTCATCTGCTCTTCACTCATTGGGGCGAAACCGCTACTATCCATTGATTGTAAGTACAAATTTCCTCGCAGCGCCGCCTCCGTCTCGGCGCGGTAAGCTTTCGCCCGTCGAACACGCTCGTGCCAAACCGCCTCATTCTCTGCGTCAAAGATGATGTTAAGGCGCTTAGTCCACTTGCTTTGACCGTTGTCCTCCCACACAATGTTGTAGCAGCATGTATCCTCGTCGTAGGCGACAACACGACAGGGACGCCACTGTACTTCGTTGGTCTGTTTGTCAAAGAATGGAGAGCGTGCGGGTGTGCCATTTTCACCGCCGAGTGCAACCCACTCCTGTGGGGTGTGAGACTCGAAGTCAGTGTTGTCAAAGTCCTCTAGTTGAAAGTATGTACGGTTGTATGCGGGGGCCTCCCGTGTAGGCGATGGGGACCCATTTGAGTATAGTTCTTCCTGTTGTTGCTGTTCTTCTTCTTGTTGTACCTTTTGTATTTGTGATTCTCCTTGTATTTGTATTTCTCCTTGCGCTTGTGTTTGTCCTTGTGATTGTGGGGCGCAGGCGTTTGACGTGGGCGCCGCTCCACCGCTTTGTTCGCCCCGCAATGATGGCAACTTCTTCTGCAGAAGACGCGGTGTGCGTATCGTTAGCGGGGCGGCGGTGCTGTCGCGGTTCTTGGGCGGCCGCGATCCCACAGGTGGTGCACTTTGCGACTTCCATGATGGTGATCCTGATAATGTTTGTGTTTTTGTTTGTGTTTGCAACTGTGAGCGTGCGTGCGGCGGTGTTGGTGTTGAAAACAATAACTCTGCTGCAGCGCCGCGTTGCTTCTGCCGTACGGCCTGTTCAATGACGGGCCGCTCGTTCTGCTCCAGCCGCCGCTGTGCGAGAAATCCACGCGTGATGGTGTACTTCTCGCGGGCTGTTTTTCCCTTCAGCCACTCCTCCGGCACCTCCGCACTACTGCGGGGGCCGTTCTTCGCGCCCTGTGCCTCCTGCGACATGGCGGGCTGATGGCGTCTCTGCTCTGAGCAACTACCTGAACACAGACAACGGAGTCAATTAGAATAAATAAGTAATAAAAAAAAAAAAAACACGCAGAGAGAAAAAGAAAAAGAAGGAGAAAGAGAGAAAAATAAAAGACAAAGAAAGCAGCGGACGGTGAAATCCAGATCACCAACAAACAACTAACCAAAGAAAAAAAGTAAATAATAAAAAAAAAGAAAAACCTTTACTTGATGACAGAGAAAGGAAAACATTACACGCCTTTTTTTTTTCTTGTTTTCCTTTATTGTTACACTATTTTTTTTTTTTTTACTCACGTCTTCCCTTCTTCAACGGCCTGGCATCCATATCGAGGTGAGCGCACGCCTCGTCCATCTCACATGTCTCCCTCTCACGCTTCTCCGCACGCATCTGTGCCACTTTCCTACGGGCCCCATTAGACTTCAACATGCGCAGGTACTTGCGCAACTCACGGCGTCGCTCCTTCGCCTCCTCCCGCATCTCTGCCGTTACCACAACAGGTTGTTTCTTTGCCTTCCGACGGGCTGCGCGAGACATGATGGGTTCCTTCTGAGTCCGTTTACTATCGTCTTCCTCCTCATTTGTCTCTGGCCGTAGTACCTTGTCTGTGGTGTTACGTGACATTTCTGGCTAACGTGGTAATAAAGATAAAGGAAAGAAATAAGTAAAAGATACAAAACAGAATTAACGTCCAGTAATACCAAGATTATATTTCGTCACGCATCATCACTACCACCATCATCATCATCATCTGCAACAACAAGAAGAAAAAGATATGTATCATCGCTTCGCGTTACCGTTTCACTCGCAACCCCCAAATACTACTCACAACCGTGCAGATCCTTCAGGCATCACATCCCCATCACCCCACAACTTTACAAATTGTATAACGTTGGGGTCCCACTTCCGCGGTGCATCACTGCCGTTCACGAGAGAGAGAGTTTCTACCACTACTGGGCGCAGAAATTTTGTTGCCACCCCAGGGGACCCATTAATCTCTAGTAGGTAAACAACCATTTGGTCATCTACAATGAGGTCATAACCGAAAATCTGGAAGCACTTGTAGGGTTCCTCTGAAGATACCTCAAGGACCAACTTCATAGCCAGCAATGTGCGGATTATGATATTGGAAATCTGGGGCAATATACGGTTTTCAAGAACATTCTCGTTAAAAACCTCATGGAGGTACTTCCCAAGTTGGGGAAACCACAATTCATTTCCCTCTTCGTACTGACCAAATTGTGATGCACCTTCTTGCAAGCAATGGTTTGTGAGGTGGGCCAGTACATTCTTGGTATCATCAGGATCATATGGCACGCTTGAAGTACGACAACTTCCTTGAGAAAAGGCGTAAATTTCATATGGAGTTTTTAGAAGCGCCCAAACGCGTATATCGAATTTTCTACCATGGTACAACAATGGTCTTTCCACATACTTCTGGGAAACAAATATGCTTCGACTACTTGGATCTAACGTTTTTATAAAATCTTTTATCTCCTCTAGACTTCGCACCATTAGTATATCTTTACCCTTACTGCCGCTACTCCGTTTGATTATCCAAATTCCCTCTGGGTGCGTCTCGGAATACTGTATAAACAATTCTCTATCATCTTGACGTTTTTTTTGATCACCCCCCAGTACAAAGGACTGGGGCATCCATTCGTTACAAGTGGCATCCGACTCTTGTAGTAACCGTGCCATCGATGCCTTAAGAGTTAGTCGGTGTGATCCACGAAAATAATTAATCCACCGGTAACCTCCATAGTAAGAGGAAGACTGCAAAGGTTCGCACCTCAACACTGAATAGGGTATAGTAAAACGATCCCCTAAAATGAGATCAGATTTTAACATAAGTGCTTTTGATTTCGTTCCGCTCCATCCTAACTGACGCAAGTATACTCCCATATCCTCATAAACACTAAAAGAAGAATCACCAAGAAAGAAACGAGGAGGATACTGTCGTTGTTGTTCTTCTTGTTGCTGTGATGAGCTTTTCTCCGGCGGTGTCACTAGATCTTCATTGAATTTTGTCAATCTGTGATCATCCAACATTCGCTTCTGCTATTAATTCGTGCAATATAAAGACATATATATATATATATATATGAGATAAAAGAAAGACAAAAACAAAAAAAAAGGTCAAATAAAAATAGGTACAACACTTGCCATAAGGTGTGTAAAGAAGAACACAAAAACTGATGCGGAGACATACCTAGAGACGGAAAGAAAGAGAAAACGAACCTTACAATCACGCTGTAAACCAGCATCTTATGGGTCTTGTTATTGACACACACCCTCTCAAAAAAAAAAAAAAAAATCATGCTGAGCCATAAAACTTCACCGTCTTGTCCATTGAGCAACTGACGAGAGACCGCGCATCTTCTCCCCAGCAGAGTCCTGTGACTGGCTGCAGGTGCGAGTTTAATGTGCTCAGAGCCTGCTGGGGAGACATGGTCCAATCAAACACACGAACCTCGTGACCCCCTACAGCCAGATACTTGCCGTAATCGTCAAAGGCAACAACAGGAACGTCACCAGACATAGATGCAGATGTTGCCTCTGCAGTTGTTGATGGTGGTATCTCATGGAGTGGAGCAGACATCTTTCTAAGATCCCACAGAAGTGTCTTGCCCCCAGAAAGAGCTGTGGCTAGGGTAAAACAATCGGCGTTAAATGCTATACTGCAGACATCGCCCTCATCAGAGAGTGAAATAGTGGTATCAACACACATCTGTTGTGTGTTCCAGATGCAGAAACCTGAGGATTTTGTTCCTAGCGCTGCCAAGGACCCATACGGGTGCACACCAAGGCATGTCAACGCTGATAAGTCCTCTGCAGTTGCAGTTGTAAATGCGACAGACTCCATAGAGTTAATGTCAGCAAGTCCAACGCCTGCTGCACTCGCTGAGAGGAGTAAATGGTCAGCAATTACGCTCCCCAGACCAATAATGCCTCCGTTGTGCTGACGCAAAACCCCTTGGCAAAGTAGCATATCTGATTCACAGCTCCATAAACGCAATGTGGCATCATCAGATGCAGAAACCAGACGTACCACCCCAGCGCTGCAACACGGGACGATGTGACGCACTGCCCTTTCATGTCCAAGACCTGTACCGCATATACGACCATCTGCTAAATCGTAATGAATAACAGTTGCATCATCGAGTCCAATAAAGACACTTTTATCTGAAACACGAGTAACAGTCCATGCGGTTTTCCCCACATCAACGGAACCATCCTCAACAAAGTCTCGCACATTCTGTTCTGAGGCCAATTTTGACGGGGGTAATCTAGTTTTCCGTTTTGCCCTCTGAACGGTGTCATACTCACCCATATCCTTCAATACTGCCTCTGGTAAAGCTGGGTTACCATTGTCACGTGCAGTTTGTCCTTCTGTTGGCTCACCCGACTGAGTTTCCCCCACCCCACGGTCCTTGATGAATGTGGCAATAACACGACACGCCGCTTCATATTGGTGTAAAGCATGCGCCAGCTCTTGCTGCGTCTGAGCTAGTTGCTGTCGCATGGAAAACTGCTCAAGCATGATAGCATCCCACTGAGAGTGTAATTTCGTCAATAAAGCAGGAATCGTCTCACCACTCGGAGGTGATCCTGTCAACGTTGTTGGTCGCACTGTTATAAGGTCTTCCTTCTGCAGTGGTTCTCCAGTAATTGGACATCTTCCGTGTTCACTGATGTACTTCTCAATAAGGGAGCGTTCGTACAAACAGCCAGATATTCTAGATACCACTGGCTCGTGCGGCACGCGGTTAGACATACAGCAGAACATGTTTCCTTTTCTTTTTGCTTTTATCAAACACAGTAAAATAAAAAAGAGACAATGTAAGGAAAGAAGAAGAAAAAAAAAAGAAGAACAAATACGATATAAGTATCAGGAAGATCGTGTGCACCAAAATCAGTTTGGAATTCTCATCCCGCTTCATACTTTAACCCAATAAACTTTTTGAGATGCAAGAAATAGCACAAGCAAAAAAAAAAAAAGAAAACAAAATCCAACTTACATTTGAAGCCAAGAGTGGTTTAAAGCCTCTCGTGAAGAGGGTCTCTTGGATGCTTCCGGCGTCATAAGAAAAAGAAGAAAGCGTCTTCCTTCCTCACTTACATTACGCCAAACAGGGTGAGAAAAGTTGATACTCTTGTGTAAAATATTTTCAAACACCTCCGTTGGTGTACTACCATCAAATGGAAGCAACCCGCTAAGAAGAGCGTACGTTACGACGCCGAGTGACCACACATCACATTTCTCATCATAGGAGTAGCTGCTCCCTTTGGATTTGCCTTGCATAATACCGATAAGTGCCACCTCTGGAGCGCAATATTGCGGGGAACCCACACACTCAGAGTTTGGGCATTTAACCGTTGCAAATCCAAAGTCACAGATGCAGACTTTTGTTGGTGGGGTTTTAAGATCTGTAGGCGAACGAATAAGAATATTTTCAGTCTTCAAGTCACGGTGCATCACGCCAAAACTATGGAGGTGAACGAGAGCGAACAACAGTTGTCGTACAATTGGAACAACGGCAGCCTCCCGTATTGGACCCTTACGTGTGACGTAGTCAAGAAGTGTGCCACCAGCAACATACTCCATTACTATATATGCATTTTTGTCTACCTCGTATGCGCCGCGCACGCCAACAATACCTGGGTGTGGTCCAGCGCGTGAGATTGCCTCTGCCCCTTCCAACATACGTTGTACCCTTCGTTCCCCAGAAGTTGTACGCCTGTCAACGACCTTCACAGCAAGACCCTCACCGGTTACCGTGTCTGTGCATCTGTACAATTTACTGATGGGCGTGTGCGCGAATGGGTAGTGATCGAGCTTATATCGATCCATCAACTCCTTCAAGATGCAAACAAAAGAAGAAAAAAAATTTAAAGCGGGGGATGAGAAGCGTTTAATACAAGTAACATAAAAGAAAGAGAAGAGAAAGGAAAACGAGCAAAGAAAAAAAAATGTAGTCCAGATTCCCCTTCAAGGAATATGAAAAGGATAGAAAAAAAAAGGAAAAAAAAGAGAAAAATTTACATTATGCTACGCCTGCAAGGACGCTTTGAGTCAGAGACTCCTGCGTTATTTTCTTTTCAAGGTCCGTCACCATGCTTCGAAAATTTTCGAAAGATGCGTTGAACGGTTGACCACGTTGTTCAAGGCCTACGATCCACTCCCTGAAACTCAAAAGCTCTGATCGAACAGTCTGAAGTGTAGCAAGACTTGTAACACCTATTTCACACACTTTCCTTTTAGCTTCTTCGAGTGCTTTTCGTTCCTCCCGTACATCACGCAATAGAACTCGACTACCTGTACCCATCTCTAGCACCTCACGAAGCAGTATCACTTCATCCCCAGGTGGAACATACTGTAGACGAGCAGAGGGAGTCCCGTTTACATGAAGCAAATTTTCATTTCTCTCCCAGCGTTTCACAAGTGTTTCTGGGGCATCTGTAGACGAAAGAAGATGTTCCGTATTTTCCCCATTTTGATTCGATGTCTCATGTATAATTGTGTCAAACACTTCTAGAGTCTCACGACAGCGATCTGCAAATGATCTCTCCACTAATGGAAGTCCTGTGCAATTATAGCCATTCTGTTCTTGCCATAGAGCTCGTTCCGCGATTACCGACTCTACATATGACACGGCCTTTTCAAAGGCAGCAACCTTACGGTCACGCTCCGCTACAATGCTTCGCAACTCACGCTCGGTGGCCTCATGTCGTTCCTTTAAAGAAATGTACATGCTACTCAGTGAATTAAAGAGATCTTCTCGCTGACGAACCTCTTCAAAATGGCTTTCACACATATTTTTACACGCTCCTGCTACCACTTCAAGACCTTCAATGACATTATTAATTGAGTAAAGGAGGGAATGTGTTGCATCAACACCAAGTGTCAACAACGCACCTTCAATTTCTTCATTGCAGTGCTGAAGCGCAATAGAATGACCCCTAAGTAATCCGACACATTGTTCTAATTGACCGGCCATAGCAGAAGCAGTGGAATGGCTGTAATTGGAAACTTTAATCTGCTTTTCTAACACCACAGGAGGGAGTCTCGAGTCAAAGGAGCGTCGAGAGCTGTCACCATTATTTGTAGGAGAGGATTGGGACTGCATCCTTTCTTTGGAGGTGTATATGTCAAGAAAAAAAAAAGGAATTTAAAAAATGAGGTGGGAATAAAACACAAAATATAGATAAAGTTAACTAGTACATTTTTTTTTTTTTTTCACCGCTTTCCCACAACATACACTTCCTTTCCTCTGCATCATATGTGCATGTCTTTCACTTTTTTTTTCTTTTTCACTGCAAGTGTTAGAGACCACCGGTAGAAGCAAGAAAAAAAAAATAATAATAATATCTCCCACCACCACGACTATCCCTCTTCATGCGAGACCCCCATCGACGCAGATAGTCTGACCATTGATAAAGCAACAGCCAGAGATACCAATAACGGCGTCGGCGATATCCTCCGCAGTGGCGAGACGCCCCATTGAAGAGCGTTTCCGCCAAGCCTCTCGTTGGGCTTCCGTCAAAGCAGCACCCATCCCAGGGCCGTCTACAAGACCTGGCGCAATCACGTTGAAACGCAACCCTTTGCTGCCATACTCTCGAGCCCATGATTTCACGGCACCGCCTAGTGCCGCCTTCGATGCTGCATACACTACTTGTCCCTCGTTTCCCACACTACCTACAACAGAGCCAATGTGGATAACGCAACCGTCTCCAGTCTTCAACATGCCCCCATGACGAAGTGCGGACCGCGTTATTTGAAGCGCCCCACGCACATTAACGTTCATCACTGCATCGTAATCGTCATCTGTACAGTGCACATGCATTTTACTAAGGGTTACACCAGCGCAATTGACAAGAAGGGATACTGGTCCATGTGACGTCCTCACAGATTTCATTAAAGCATCACATTCAGAGGAAACTGTAAGGTCCGCCTTTAAACAACTGCATTCTGGTGCGACTAGGCCCGTCAAATCCCTCCTAGACACGCATACCAATTGCATACGATGTTGTGTTAATAAACGTGCGGCTACCACTCTACCAATGGCAGATGAAGCTCCAGTCACAACGCCCACACGTCCTTCAAGGTTCCAAGGCATTCAACCCTTTTGTTTTGTTCTTTTTTTCACGTGCTTCAATATTTGGCAGCACCTTTTACTTCTAAGGTTGGGTAATAAAAGCCACATAAAAATTTCAAGAGAAAAAAAAAGAGGGTCGCACCCCACGGGTAAATTACCAGCAAACGGAAGAAGTTTAATTCACTTTGTCTGTTGTTATTGTTCTTGTTCTTGTTTTGCAATTTTCAATCCACTTACTTACCTCTAGTTCAGCTTACGTGTCAGAATCACTGCTGTCTATACGTCGTTTGCTGAAGGTTACTTTAGGAACTACCATGCGAGGAGCACGTGCAGCGGTACCGCCAAAGGCTTTTTTATCCCCCAGGTCACTTCTACTATTACTACTGCTACTACTACTACTGCTGTCCAGTGGAGGAGCGGTTTTAACAGTTAGTTTTCTAGGAGGAGGAGGAGGAGGGACCTTTTTGGCGCCAACTCTTGGTGGTTGTGAAGAAACCTCTCTACTCTTCACAAATTCCTCTGTGTCAGAGGACGATGTCGATAATGCCTTGCCACCACGCTTTGGAAGAGGAATTGAAACTCTTACAGGGGGTGGTACTACTTCTGGAACTTTTTGCTCTCCCACCGCTGAAGGCAAAGAAACAGGAGGTGAAACCCCAATACGTTCTACAGAATCGTGGTTAGCAGTAGATACAGAAAGCACTTCTTTTTGTTTCTCAGGGAAATCGTCAGGTGTTACTTTATTAAAACTTGTGGCTTTCTGCAAATCCACAACTTTTGACGCTACAACAGTGTCACTATCTGAACTTTCCTTGGAGTCTGAACGTTCAGCAAGTGTTTTGTGAGTTCCTCTCTTCTGTAGGAGAACATCTGGTTTAGTAGTTGGTGTCGCCTTACTCTCTACAACCTTTGGTGGGGGTTTCGATCGAGGATACTGATACTCTGACGAAGATGAATCATCACTACCGAATATTCCTCGTGGAGGTGCCTTTATGGCTTTCTTTGCAGAACCTAAATGTGGAACCTTGGTGTTTTCGTTATCAGAACTCGAGTCACTTACAAATATGTTAGTTTTCCGTGGTGGGACAGGTTTGACCGGAACTTTCCGCACCGAATTATCTGATGAATCAGATGAAGTTGACGCAGAAGAAATAGATGCTTTGGAAAAATTGCTAACCTTTTTTCCACCAGGTGTTGGTCGTGAACTTACAACTGGTTTGTGCAGTGGTTTATTATCATCTGAGCTTTCGGACGAATCAAGAAATGCGGAAATACCAGTCTTCCTGGTTGTTGTCACCGTCGATGTGTTATCTGCCTTTCTAGTCAGTGAACCTCCAACAGATGTCGTTTTTGTTGTTGTTGTTGTTGTTGTTATTCGTGCTGCCGGTGGTGGTGGTGGCGGAGGTGGTGGTGGGGGTGGTGGTGGTGGTAGTTTTGTGGCTAACACTATTGGACGAGTTGTGGTATCTGCTGGTACTGTTCCAGCAGTGTGAAACGCCAGGTCGCGCCGTACGTCTACCGCCACAGGTTCTGCTATACTGTCAGAGGAGGACTCTGATGTGGATGACCTTCGAGAATCCCTGCTATCCTTCCCAAAGTATCCAGCGTAGGGATCGGTGAGAAATTGTTCCGATCCAATAAGTGCCATAAGATGTCTGTCTCTGTAGTGATTAGCAAAAGACTGGGAAAGGGTATCCTTTTCGTCCTGTACACTATCCTCTGTGTTAGGTAGTTCACTTGGAGCTGTATCCTCAGCGAAGAGCGGTATAGTTCGTTCTTCAAGAACACGTACACCAATGTCGATAGCCTCCTGGCACACACGGGTTACTTTCGCCTCCATATCCTCTGCTGAGTTGCCATTGAGAATGGAAACATTTTTTTCATCACCTTCACTCTGGTCAGATACAGTTCCACTTTCGGTATCCTCCACAGAGACACGATTTTGCACAAATTGTTTCTGTGAGAGAAGAAGGAAAGAATTCATGGCATTCTGAAGTTGAATAGAAGCGGTGTGAGTATTTTCATAAAGTCCATCAACTTTGTCACGAACAGAACCAAAACGTGCCATAAACTTTGCCTGCATCATCATCATTGTCTTTAAGAGCAGATCATCAGCGTCAATATCCCATTGACCCTTCGCAGACTCCTTAAGAATCGCGAATACGTCATATAACTCGCTACTTGCGTTGCTTTCTTCATCCATCCCTAGGTAATCCTGTTAATCACATGTGAAACATAAATTAGAAGTGAAAGGGAAAAAAAAGAAGAGAAAAAGAGAAGAAAAAAAAATAAATAAGAATAACAGGTCATCAATGATTCTATCATTTACTCAGTAAGCCATATAGTAGTAGTAGTAAAATATTTGCCGAAGCACACTAAACCCTTAGAAATGAAATCAAACTAAAACCAACTCTGTGAATAAATTAACACCCACCCCCACACCTATTACCCAAACCTCTTCTTATTTTCTGTATTGAACACTTATGCGTGAACGATGGCTGTTGCTGATGGCAATGCAATGGCTGTATCTGAAAACGAAACATTAACTTGCTGATCAGTTGTAACGCCAAAAATATCTGCAAGATCCTTTGGATCACAGCTTTCCCCCAGCACAGCATCAATAACACGCTCTGTCATACGCTTACGCTCCAGCCAGAGTTTTCGGGCCCTGTTATACCGTAGAGTAAGAAGTGAAACATCCTCATCATTTTTACAACTTTGATTATTCGCCATCTGCTGCATATCGTTCAGGCGCTCCTTTAATGTCGCACATTCTGCTGAGAGTGTAGTAATTATAGAAGCTCTCTTAACAGATGAAGATTTCTGAAGGAGTGCATTCAATTCATTGTCAAGTTGGGAAAGACTCTTCGTTTGTACTTTAACCTGTTGAATAAGATCTACCTTTACAGATCCTGTAGTATTAGCATCCTCTCCATGATTGATAGTCTCTGTGGGGATTAGGTAGTAAAATCTGGCTTTTTTGATGTCCTTTACCTGAAGTTTTTCCTCACTCACATATTGCTCAAGAATACTCTGAACCAATGTTTTCCCAAATTTGCTACCGAGAGCATCTGTTAATGACTGTACCGTTGCCGGTTCTCCCTCACACTCAAACCATCGAAGTATAGCTGTTTCTGCATCTTTAGAATCTGATTTTTTATTGACTCCTTTCTTGGATGCCATGATACCCCTACCGATGTAAAGAACAGGCAACACAGCAGAAAAAAAAAACCTCGGTGATGTTAATATACCACAGTAACAAACGACATACCATTCACATACATAAATGGATAAATATAGAGGAAAGAAGGAAGGAAGGAAGGAAGGAAGGAAG